GCAGATTGGAAAATGACGACCTGACAAACAGTTATACTGAGAAAGTTACAGGAAGTTGTGCTGCGTGAATCCCATGATACTTTAACAGGAGGACATCTCGGAAGTTAAAAAGACATTGAGTCATCTACGGCAGAGATTTTACTGGATAGGTATGAGGCATGATGTGTAAGAATGGTGCAGGACCTGCAGTACATGTTGTGCAAAAAGGGGACCCAAGCATAAGGGATATGCTCCAATGAAGTTATATCAAGTTGGTGCACCAATGGAAAGAGTGGCCGTTGACATTGCTGGTCCTTTGCCCCAAACTCGTACTGGAAACAGGTACATTTGTGTGGTGATGGATTATCTCACCAAGTGGCCTGAGGCATATGCAATACCAAATCAGGAAGCTACAACTGTAGCTTCGGCTATTAGTGATTTCTTCTTCAGGTTTGGTATGCCACACGAACTGCATTCAGATCAAGGCCATAACTTTGAATCAGCTGTGTTCCATGAATACTGCAAGTTGTTTGGCATACGAAAGACCAGGACAACGCCACTTCACCCACAGTCTGATGGGATGGTAAAAAAGTACAATTGGACACTTGGACAGAAATTGGCAAAGTTTTGTAATAGCTGCCAAGATGACTGGGATATCTTACTTCCTCCACTGTTGATGGCCTATAGAACAGCAGAGCATGAAGTCACTAGATACACTCCAGCAAAGCTGATGTTTGGTCGGGAACTTCGGTTACCATTGGATCGGATAACAGGACGCCCACCTTACGAAGAGTTGCCTGAAAATATGTCAGAGTTTGTGAAAGTGTTATCTGAAAGGATGGATGATATTCATCATCCAGTGCGTTTAAACTTGAAAACGTCTGCTGATTCCATGAAGCTATGTTATGATAAGAGATTTACTGAAATCGGCTTTGTACCAGGAGACAAAGTATGGTTGTATAATTTCAGGAAGACCAAAGGAAAGTCTCCTAAGTTGTCTTCTCCATGGGAAGGCCCATATGACATAGTGGATCGTCTCTCAGACGTGACTTTCCGAATAAAATGTGGTCGGCGGGGTCAGCCAAAGGTGGTGCATGCCAATAGGCTTTGGCGTTAATACGGTCCAGGACATTTCAGTTGGAACGAACTGAACAACAGAACAAATAACGCTGCTGAAGGCGTGTCACCTGAAAAAGCCACTGTCGAAGAAGAAACTCTACCCAGTTTTGAGAAGGGAAACAGTGAAGCCCTTGATGAAGCTACTACCACTGATGTGACTATTACCGATAATAGGACATTTCCTGATGGAACAGATGAACCCCACGTGAAGCAGAAGCCAACGAGACGGAGACCAGTACGGAAGAAGATACTCCCGTAAGATTAAGAGACTTTGTTGAATTTAAATTTTATGTTTGTAAATTCTGTACACTTAATTAAGTTATTGTTAATTGTTTATTGGTTTAATTTAAGTGGCTATTGTTCGGGACGAACAATACTAAGGAAGGGGCAGTGTTACGACAGCGGAAGTCACGTGACGCTGGTAACATGTCATGAGATTCTCAAAAGATCTTGACTTTTCCTGGCAACTCTAGTCTGTTCTAGGCGTCCTTGTTTTTGTATGTAAGCCCGGCAAATAAAGCGGAGATATAATTTGTGGATAGATAGATATAGAGACAGATAATTGAGTCAAGCGAGCGGTAGTGACGGTAACATAAAGTGTGTGTTCTGTTATTGAGATTGCAAACGTATTGACTGTGGAAATTCTGTGTATTATAAAGTTGTATCGAGAAAGAATAAACTAGTTTTAATTAAGAAAGGACATTTATCGCTGAAGTTCCCCGGAAGGAATTTATACTGGAAGTTAACAAACGAGCAGATACATAACTATATATTACGTCATGGGTAGCCGTCAAGCCATCGCTGCAGATCGAATCAGCTGAATAGGTCAGGTAGCATAAGCGAGCCTAATTAAGTTCGAAACAATATATATATAATGAATATACAGTGTATATATATATATATATATACAAAACTATACAATTATA